CCCCGTCATGTCCAAGTGACTAAACCCTGTATTATCACACGTCGTCACATCAGGAAAATGCTTTACTACCACTGTTAGTGCACTGAATGAAACTATTTGACCCATAGAACTTGTGGAAAACAATTCTAATGAGGGTTTATTTGTCGCTGGTCTTACTGTTAGGTTTTTTTTCAGGAACTCTACTGACGGTAGCCATTCGATAAGTAGCGAAAGTGGTCTGAAATAATTTTTTTGCGGGCTATTTTGATGGAAGCCTAGTTGCCCTAAGCCATATTTATGGTGCCTATTGAAAGAGTGCACTTTAAAGGTGGTCTATTGTCACGAATAGCAGTATTTAGCCTAATTTCTTTCCGTTTTCTTTCTCCACAAAAAAAATAATTTAAGGTATAAGCAATTTGAAAGCAGTGGTAAAGAGTAAGTTATGAAGTATTGATTGAAATTTTGAAATGTACTTGTCGTTCAGTTAATAGTTCAGCCTCAACTGTCAGTATACAATTGAATTGCGATAAGAAATCGGTATAGAGAACTCTTTAATTTTTAGAGTTGAAATCAAGTGCATAGTTATAACTATACGTTTTGAGCGTTGATTTATCTGGAAGGATTTTCTATTATTCAAACCTACAACTGCGGAGTTGGAGAACTTGATCGCAGAAACTAGCCAAAATAAGGGAATTGTTTATGCGCGAGTGGGCGTATGGGCTGTTATCAATGCAGTCAGTGGGCCTGTGGGTTATTGTCCATGAGGTAGTGGGTTGTTGTCCATGAGCTAGTGGGCTGTTGTTCATGAGCTTGTGGGCGTGTGGGCTGTTGTCCACGAACCAGTGGGCGTGTGGACTGTTGTCCATCAACCAGTGGGCGCGTGGGCTGTTATTGATACAGACAGTGGGCGTGCGGGCTGTTGGCTATCGATTAGTGTACATTGTACAAGATGCTTCTCTTTCTGTGTAAATAGCCGAACAAAAGTAGTCAAATATATAAACCATTGTTTCACACGGCAAAGACATACTTGAATCAATATAACTAACATGTTTTGAATGTAAACGGAAGGTTTGTTTTGCTGTGTACGGTCATCCCACACGAAAATTAATAACATTGTTTTCGATTATGGCACGGCTATTTAGATAAAACAAAAGAAACGGTTGATCTTGTTCAAATAACGTCTGGGAAAATGTTTGGTGACGTGCAAAGAATGATTTAAAAAAAACACAACAGCAACACAAAAACAAAACAAAAACAACAATACAAGCCTTTGTTGTAGTAATGGTCATAAATCCTTTTGGTGAATCATCCGAGCAAGGGAACTTTGCTGAAGTATAATAATTCAACTAGACTAATGAATAGCTAGACAACCAACTGCGCATGGTAAACTACTTACTCCAATACATCTAGGCATTGGTTCAATTATTGAACCAATGCCTAGATGTATTGGAGTAAGTAGTTTACCATGCGCAGTTGGTTGTCTAGCTATTCATTAGTCTAGTTGAATTATCTAGCAATGTTAAGTTATTGCTACGTGAACTGTAATGACTACGTCAACTCTCCAGGCCATATTAACTATCCTGGTTAAGTTAACTATTTAAGAAAGACAACTGATGTTTTTAACACGTTTTTATTAACTCAGCTTCGCGTTTGTGTGTTTGTTGTTAAAATTGACATCGAAAATTAGCCCACTTCTGATTGCTCTAGAGACCTGAAATTTGGCATGCATGCTACTTTCGCCTAACAATTTCAGATGCAATCATAAAAACTAGCAATTAGTGACCGTAATTAGCTTAATTTAATTACGCCCCAAGGACCATAAAATTGAGGACATGATTTCTAAAGATACCGACAAGACTAGAGGCCTATTGATACAGTTACTTCGGCCCCAATCGATGTGAGCGCGCTGGCCGTGATCGTATAGTGGTTAGTACTTCGCGTTGTGGCCGCGACAACCCAGGTTCGAATCCTGGTCGCTCAAGATTTTTTTTTAGTCCGTGTATTTATAAACACTTGTTTAAAAACCACGTGTTTCATGTGTAGCAACGGACTAAAAAGGAGAAAATAAAATACTTAAAAAAAACTTTTTAAAAAACCACGTTTTTCTTGTGGACTAAAAAGTAGAAAATAATTTTTTCTTTTGTGCTTCCTCGAGCTGTGCAGGTTCTTGTGATGACTGACAAAAAACGTGGGTCGGGCAGATGGGTCGGGAAATTTGATGGTGAACGTACCCACGTTTTTTGTCAGTCATCACAAGAACCTGCACAGCTCGAGGAAGCACAAAAGAAAAAATTATTTTCTACTTTTTAGTCCACAAGAAAAACGTGGTTTTTTAAAAAGTTTTTTTTAAGTATTTTTTTATTATAGAGTTGACAAGCATGGTGTAGGAAGTAAAATAGGGCTGGTAAGTAGGTCACCAACCAGTTCTACGGCTCAATAAAACCTGCATGAGCCATAGAACTGGTTGGTGACCTACTTACCAGCCCTATTCTCGTGATAACAGATACTTTTAAATTTTGAGGAGTTTTATATTCTGGAAAAGAATTACGCATAAGATGTTTAGTTCATCGAATTTGTTTTTAAAAAATGTAGCATTGATGTGTTAACAGCTTTTTAGATTAATTCAAATTTTCGAGAGCAAGTTGAGAAGCTGAAGTAATGAACTAGAATCAGAGTTTGAGCAGATTGAGAACGAAGCCGCTGAGCTGGGTGAGAAGTGTGAAGTTTGTGAGGAATTTTAACAACACAGGGCGTGTAAAAATATTCCCTAGACTCCATCATAACTAGTAAAAACAGAAGGTTTCAAGATTTTAAGGATGTCTTCCAAGTTTTGTTATTTAGATCCACAACATCTTGCATAACATGAGAGTTTGAAATATTTGTACACAGTTAGTACTGGTTTACTCTTATGCAATGAAAATGCAGGAATTATTACCAGTTAGAGAATTCTACAAAGAAGTTTTAAATGTAATTAAGAGCGCCACAATTGAAGTGGAGCCATTGGAGATGACGTTGTCAACACATTTCTGAAAAGTAATGACAGCTAATGACATATGTTCCATAATATACGGAATCCTCTCGCCTTGTACCGTGTATTGTTCAACTAAAAAAACAGTACCGGAGCAGAAAGATCATTCAGCCGACTTAAAATCCTCAAAACATACATATTTTCTACTATGAACAAAAACAGGTTATTCAGCTTAGCGCTGAAGACAATAAAACATTAAAAAGCTTCTGATGTTTATTTTAAAAAATAGCACGTTATTACTAGAAAGAGACATCGCCGACTAAGGATGTGTCATTAATTAAAAGGTCTGGATTACAGAATACAAGAAAATTATTTTCAACGATGTTTACATAGGACACAGTAATGTACGTTTTTCCAGTTGAAAATGTGGACTCATTTGTTAAACTAAATGGGCAAAATATTTATCTGAATTTTTTCGTCTTTCTAATTTTTACTTTTTCATCGACGGAATAAGCCTAGATTTAAAGTATTGTAATCATACAAACAAAACTTTTTTACACCATCTTAATTCGGAAACGCTTAGTTTTTGCAATTATACCTGTATGTCTAAGTGGGATGTGTGTCTATGCGAACACGATAACTTGGGTAACCTTTCAGTTAAGCTGATGAAGTCTCGCATATATGTATTAAATTTTATTTTTAGTTTGCTATCAACGGTTGAGCGATTTCCGATAACCTGAAATAAATATTATATTTCTCCGGTTTCTCAAAAGAATATAACTTAATTGTCGTTTCAATTAGACAGAAGTTAATTCGAACAGCCTACTAGTATTAAATTATATGTGTAGGTTTCTATCAACTTTAAACGCTTGTACTTTATTCCCATAGACAAAAAAAAAGATACACTGTGTAGTGTTTCAGTTAGGTAAACAAAGTTTCTTACATAAGATCTGATACGTATAAAACTTGAAATTTTGAGCACACTTATATACGGAATTAGTACTCTATTTGTATTTTCTAAAATACCGATAACGTGAGCAAGTTTCAGTTAGGTGGTTCTAATTTTTTTTAAATACGTATACGATCTTACATACTGGTTTATGCTTTCTTGGGTGATCCCAAAAAGAATTTACAAAAAACCATTTTGAGCATTTTGTCACCAAATTTTGTTTTATACATGTATGTATAACATCTTTTCCCCTTTTCTCAAATATGGTGCAAGCTGAGTTTCTCCTTCTACTACAGTTAAAAACACAATTTTGTGAGCAACTTCTTTTTAAAAAAATGCAAATATTTGGAACTGATGTATACCACTGGACTTATAAAGAATCACATATTAAAAATAGCATAAGATGATCAAGTCTAAATCCGGTACTGTCAATAAACAACATACGTGGTCTGTTCACATTCAACAACTGTGTCGCCTAGACAGTATTTGCATTCGTTTTTCATGTTAAGACGAATATTTTAATAAGATGAAACTATTGTTGCGATCCTCTTTCTTTGCAGCACATTGAACATTGAGTTTAACTGTATCAACATTGGTAAGTATTTCATATAGAAGGTATAAAAACCGTTATATTTTAAAATCCACAAAAAATAAAACTTACTTTCATAAAAGCACTGGTCACTAATATGTTGCTAATATATGCAAATATGTGCACGAAATCGTATGAGCGACAACTGCTTTTACAAGTTAAAAAAATTTGTTTCGTATTTTAATTATTGACATATTTTAAATGTATTATAATAAAGGATTTACATTTGTTTGTTTTTCTACTTTTAATTGGTAATTTTAAAAAAAACAATTTGCTCAATATTTAATTTTTAAAATACAATGGATAGGTTTTTTTATTTTTTCTATTTCGTACGTTATTTTCTGATTTCGATCGATCAAAAAAATATTTGCTTTAAAATCAGCTGTAAAAATCGATGAGTCTGTAAATGTTTAATTTAATATATACATTAAAATTAACATACGACCTTTGTCAAAAGCAAACAAACACAATTTTTGACATTAGCTAAAACTTGATGAATAATAACCAACAGCGTGTTCAATTAAAAGTTTTATTTTTGTTTTTCAAATTCGTGTATTCAAAAGGCATAGACCATTCTAAGGTATTCAAAGAGTTAAGATGTTCATTGGCAGCGGTCATCGAACGGTCATCGGATGGTCATCGAGTTGTCGTCAAGTTAACCGTTGGTGCAGGACTGGCAGGAGTTGCAGAAATCGCAGTAGCACTGGTAGCTCCAGGTGTAGTTGCCGTTGTCATCAACGAAATAGAAGCTGTCGTACCTCAAGCCCTGGTGTTGATAGAAGTGTTAAGTTTGTTGGAATTAAGGTTGGCTTATGCGGGGGTGTGGATAATGGACATTCCAACTAAAATACACTTATTTAAAAATTTGCATGAAAAAAAAAACGTATTAAATAACACAAAGAAACACAGGACTTACAGAATATACGTTTCTTGGATCCCTGTAGTTCCAATAGAAGTTGGGGAATGGCGCATCGTTTGCTAAACAGTGAGTCAAGGGCTGGACTATGTTCAGGTAATTTATTAGGGCTTGGTTAAAGTATACCTGAGGGAAATTACATGACAATATTTTAAAGACGACTAAAGTATCAATTATATATTGGGAATTTTGAGAAATGAGAATAGAATAAGAAAATATCAATAACAAACACGCTGTGTAATCTATTTATTACGTCTGCGAATTTTGTATTGAACACAACACATCAGCTACTATGTATAAATTAGTTGGGTGAAGTTTTAACAATTGTTTTTTAACCAGTTTGAAATTATTGAGCAAAGTATTAATTTAAATGGGTGCAGCAAGTTCCCGATTGAGACTTATCAATCCAAAGGATAGAGGAAGTAGAGTGAATCTGTTTATTGACCACTGCATACGGTGTGGTCAGCACTATGCCCAACTGCCTCTGCTGTTCCCTAATGTGAGACAGGTATTCATCATAACCGGAATGTCCTACATTCCTGAGTTCGATATCTAAACTTGAGACTTTCGGGTTAGCAGCCGAGCTCTCTACCACCCAACCCAAACGTGACATACTCTAAATGGGATAATTTCAGTAAGTTTTACCATTGGCAGACGCAGATCCCAGAAGTTGGTCTGCAGGTAGACTGGGGTGGTACCTGTAAGTCCAGCACGGTTGGCTATCAGATTGCTGACGGCTATAAGTTTGGTGCAGGAGGCGGGTGGTGCGGTGGCAGATCCAGAAAATCGGTATCTGTAAAGATGTTGATTTCATCGCTTTTGTACTTATTTTATTAAAACATCTATGAACTATATAATTTATATAACACAGCACAATACAGTGATCGCACAACCAGATACTTAAATTCTCCAAGGGTAAAACAATAAATTGAGTGAATGAAAAGTTACTCTATGTTTTGATGTAATATTTATGTTGTTTTTGGATAAAACCCATCCTTATGTGCAGGTAATATCTTAACATAAACACCTAAAGATTCTATTCAGGCATAGCTATTTCCGTCAACAACGGGATCTTACTCAAAACTTGGATACACACGTTATCTCTAGTGAAGATCACTCTTAACTACTCTCCAAATGTTTATATCAGAACATCACACTGTAGCGCTATAATAATATGAAACACCTGTGTAAAACATGTACAGACTCCTGGAGAAGGCTATGTATACATACATTCGGAATCTAAAAACATATACTTTTCGTTGTTTCCATTTCTCGCAATTATTTTTCTTGGCATGTTTGTGGTCGATATTTCTTTAGTTGTTTCCCTATTACTTACTTGTGTCATAGACAGGGGATCTTGTTAATAATAAATTGTATATAACAGAAAAACCTATAATGACACCTGTACTGACACCTATAATGACACCTGTATAAACATTTGTTAAATGAACTCACCCGTGAGGTGGAGGGTAGTCAGGTACGGCATTGTATCCTGTGTATGCGTAGTTGGGCACGCACTTGTTGTATCGCTTGATGCAGAAGGCTAATACAAATTAAAAAAAAACACTTCTGAGATGTGTTGAAATTTGTATATTTGTATGAGCTAGTATTATATATATATATATATATATATATATATATATATATATATATATATATATATATATATATATATATATATATATATATATATATATATGTATACGTTATGCACGTTATGAACGATCCATCGGCGTATATTCTAATCCCTCTTTAACATTAATACACACAATACAAGTATAGTGATTCGTTAACGTCAAATTCATAACTCAGTTGTAAGTACTCACAGTCTAGCGCTCCCACCCCACAGTACTGACAGAACCTTGTTGACAGACCCAGCTGAGCGTTGTAGCACGGGTCAGCCGAGTTGGTATCTGTGACAAGCAGGGCCGTCACGACAAGGGAGAGAAGCACGTACGGCCTGGGGAATTATACAATACTACGGTTTTAAAGCGATAACTGTAGATGAAATACATTTTTAAAAGTATAGGAACATCACAAATTTAGAAACAGACAAAAAAGGTTACATTACTTTTATCTTCAATCTGACAGTTAACAGTAAACAAACAATGAAAACTAATTTAAATTTTCAAATTTTATTTTATTTATAAGAATCCATTTACAAAGCTCGTACCCTATACTAAATCTAGCTGGTGATAGATTACCTTATACTTAATCTAATTGGTGATAGATTATCCTATACTAAATCTAGCTGGTGATAGATTACCCTATACTAAATCTAATTGGTGATAGATTACCCTACACTAAATCTAGCTAGGGAAAGGTGTACCCTATACTAAATCTAGCTAGTTATAGCTTAGGCTAGATCCTTACAAGAACAGCTTGGTTCCCTAGCTACTTACGACATGTCTTTAAAGTAGATCTGTGTATCTTAAGCCTCACACAGATCAACTTATAGCTGAGGATATTTGGCTTTGTGTGGTGTCAACACATGTTCTAGCCATTGTACGTGACATTTTCAAAAACATTGGAGCCATTCTCTTCTTTATCTGACAAATATATTTTATGTTCGCTGACGTACATGGTAATGGTAATCTATAACTTAGTAGTCCTCACACTTTTAGCAATCAAAAGTCTTCCAACCAACAAGGTGTTAAAATATATATTTAATCATCTAAAATTTAATAAACATATTTTAAATAATTTTTAAACCATGCGTTCGTCCTTCACTTTGTCATGAATTGTTACTTGATATCTACACATCGACACCTGAACTCTTATTATCATACGTCGCGACAACAAAATAATGGAGCCCTCGTTTATATCACACGTTCTCACATCTAATTGATGGAACCTCTGTGACGCTAAGCCCATAAATTTTCATGCTGTGGGGTGGGGGGGGGGGGGGGGGTGAGGGAGATGGGGGTGAATAAGGGGTGCAAATAAATTAGTCCACAGTTTGATACATTGGTTGAATATTATTTTACTTAAATATCGTGTTCAGAAACCTTATCTTAATTGTGAAAAAAACATGGATATTTCCTATAGTTTTCTCTCCTGCGATGTCCAGCGATGTTCTGTTTCCTGTCTTGTCTCTGTTGTTTTAAGTGAAATGACTTTACAATTTCAACTGTCTCGACTACATTAAGCTTCGTTGTTAAAATTGCTGTTTTAAATATGTTAACTGTCCTTGCAATAGTAACTGTCCTGACTACGTTAACTGATCTGGCTATGTTAACTTTCCTAAATGTGCTAAATATCCTGGAAATGTTAACTATCTACGATGTTAACTATCCTGGCTATATTAACTGCCCTGGCTATGTAATTCATTCCGGCTAAATTAACTTCGCGGCTATGTAAACTGTACTGATTTTTTACAAGCTTTTATTTAACTCACTTCCTCTGTCGTCGCCAGTCTGTCGTCAGTCTAGATCGAAACGCAGGAGTGAAAATTCGGAAACTTCTACTTGACCGATACGATTCACATTTGACACGTGGGTCAAGACATGAAGACAATGCAATCTGAAACTAAATTTGACTTAATTGGATGCCTAATTAATTTTTTATGAATTAATAAAAATTTGGACCGAATTAGTAGGCATGTCTAGCCAACCACACCACACGCGTCATCACCTTCAATAGCTGCGCCATCACGTTCAATGGCTGCGTTCAAAAACCATTGCGCGCCTACTGAACGTGATGTTCAGTAGGCGCGCAATGGTTTTTAGTCATGTAACTCAACTGTAAATAAAACATGTAAAGTACTGAAAAAAAAATTCATAAAAAACGTTTTAATAACACGCTTTTATGTAATAACTAGAATACCCGTCATCCGTTGGATAACTGTGGGTTTCGGGGGTCATCCATCAAAAAACATCACGTCTGTCACTCAGAGGCATAGCGAGCCTTCCCGGCGCCAGGGGACAAACTTTTCGATTTTAACCCCCCCCCCCCCAAGATTTCGATTTTCAACCCCCCCCCCCCCCTCAAACTTTTGATGTGCACCTCCCCCCACTCAAACTTTTGATTTGAACCCCACTCAACCTTTCAATTTTTTTTTCCAAACTATTTTGGCGCCCCAACATATGTCCCCCAGCCCCTCCCCCCCCCGCCTCCCCTCCCGCCCCCCCCCTCCTCGCTACGCTACTGCAGTGTCACTTATCGTCACAAAAACAGACCCCACATTCAAAAATATGTTTCTTATCTTTTAAAAACACCGAAAACACCGATTTCGGACTATCCCTTCATATACTGACCTACTCAACTCTACTTCACCTGCCCAGTGTCCCGCCAAGTCTCAGACATGTTTATATCGTTTAAAAAACGATTCCAGCCGAGCATGTCATTGACCACACTATCCTTTCATATGCTTAGGACAAAGAAACAGATGAACTCTACTTCACCTGCCCTGTATCCTGCTAAGTTCAGATAGGCATTTTTATCATTCACATCTAAAAAAAAAAATGAAAAAAAATATCATTGACATATTGGTCTAGAACCTGTGCCACCCGCATGAGAGCGGACTACGCTACCAACTTAGCTATTTTCTCGTGACGTCACAAATGAATTTTTATACTATACTTTTGAGTCTCCGCGCATAGATCTAGATCTAAGTCTAGTAGTAGAATCTAGTAACTTTCTAATTAAATTTTATCTTAAATTGGCCAAACAAAGATTTATATAAAATAATTAAGGCCTGAAATAGATTCTAGATGTATTAAGGCCTGAAATAGATTCTAGATGTAGACTTTACATTAAGTCTAGATCTAGAATTTACATTGAGTCTAGTGACCTAGATCTAGGCTAGATCTAGATCTAGGCTAGATTCATAACTTTCCTTCGACAGCTGATCTTTAGATCTAGAGAAATTTATTGTAAAACTAAATGAAAAAAGACGGTTTAAAATTGATATAAGTGTTGGAACGTAATAAATACAGCAAACGGACGTATTGTTAAAGTTATGACCGACAGAAAATTAGATTTAGAACGCGTTAAACTTTTGAATGGGAACACAATTTTCTTCGATAGACGCCGCCATTTTATTGTACTAAAGAGTAAACAAAAACCTGTGACGTCACTATTCCAACAAAGTTTAGTCAATGTTTTAACATTTAAAAAAAAATGGGTTACTCTACGTATGAATAAATCAATAAATTAATTAACGTCTTTAAATAAATTTGTGATTAACAGTCTGTCTGCATTAAAAATTATTCTCTACCTACATACTATTTTACAGCTTTCCACGATGAGTGCAACCATGCGAGATAGTCAATCAGCCAAACAAACAAACAAACAAAAAAAAAACAAATAAATATTCAAACATGTAAACAAACTTGACTTTTAGTAGTATACTAGAATACCCGTCATCCGTTGCATAACTGTGGGTTTCGGGGGTCATCCATCAAAAAACATCAGTCTGTCACTCAGAGGCATAGCGACCCTTCCCGGCGCCCGGGGACAAACTTTTCGATTTTAACCCCCCCCTACAAGATTTCGATTTTCAACCCCCCCCCCCCTCAAACTTTTGATGTGCACACCCCCCCCCCCCCACTCAAACTTTCGATTTGAACCCCCCTCAACCTTTCAATTTATTTTTCCAAACCATTTTGGCTCCCCAACATATGTCCCCCCCCCGCACCCCCCTTCCCCCCTCCACCTCCCCCCGCCTCCCCTTTCCCCAACCCCCGCCTCCCCTCCCGCCCCACCCCACTCCTCGCTACGCTACTGCAGTGTCACTTATCGTCACAAAAAACAGACCCCACATTCAAAAATATGTTTCTTATCTTTTAAAAACACCGAAAACACCGATTTCGGACTATTCCTTCATATACTGACGTCACATGTGACCTACTCAACTCTACTTCACCTGCCCAGTGTCCCGCCAAGTCTCAGACAACATGTTTTTATCGTTTAAAAAACGATTCCAGCCGAGCATGTCTCTGACCACACTATCCTTTCATATGCTTAGGACAAAGAAACAGATGACCTCTACTTCACCTGCCCTGTATCCTGCCAAGTTCAGATAGGCAACTTTATCATTCACATCTAGAAAAAAAAAATTGAAAAAAAAATATCATTGACATATTGGTCTAGAACCTGTGCCACCCGCATGAGAGCGGACTACGCTACCAACTTAGCTATTTACTCGTGACGTCACAAGCGAATTTTTATACTATATTTTATGTCTCCGTTTGCAACTTGATTTACGCGCATAGATCTAGATCTAAGTCTAGTAGTAGTAACTTTCAAATTTAATTTTATCTTAAATTAGCCAAACAAAGATTTATATAAAATAAAGATGGTCTGAAATTATCTAGATCTAGATAGAATTATCTAGATCTAGATTAGATTCTACGACTCGTTTGCTTAAGTCTTAAGTTTAGTTTTTCTTGCTAGATCTAGAATCTAGATCTAGATCTAATCATTAGGCCCGGAGCGAGCATTTCAAAATTACCATATTCCAAACAAAGATTTATATAAAATAATAAAGGTCTAAAATAGTTTAGTATATAGAAAATCATTATTATCTAAATCTTGAAAGAAAATTATCTATATTTTAGATCTACGACTGAGCTATATTTAGAATTTACGTTTATAATTTAGCAAAATTACCGGCATCTAAGCCGCGTATGAATCTTAAGCTACACCAATAAGCCCGGGAGCGAGCATTTCAAAATTACCATATTCCAAATAAAGATTTTATACAACATAATAAAGGTCTAAAATAGTTTAGTATATAGAAACTCATTATTATCTAAATCTAGATAGAATTATCTATATTCTAGATCTACGACTGGTTTGCTTAAGTCTCGTTTTTTTATTGTATTTATATCTAATAAATCTTTGATTTGACCTAGATTGTCCTAGATTCTAGATCTAGATCTATAAATAACTTTCTTGGACAGATTTTAGATCTAGAGAAATTTATCGTAAAAATAAATGAAAAAGACAGTTGAAAATTGATATAAGTGTTGGAACGTAATAAATACATCAAACGGACGTATTGTTAAAGTTATGACCGACAGAAAATTAGATTTAGAACGCGTTAAACTTTTGAATGGGAACACAATTTTCTTCGATAGACGCCGCCATTTTATTGTACTAAAGAGTAAACAAAAACCTGTGACGTCACTATTCCAACAAAGTTTAGTCAATGTTTTAACATTTTAAAAAAAAATGAGTTACTCTACGTATGAATAAATCAATAAATTAATTAACGTCTTTAAATAAATGTGTGATTAACAGTCTGTCTTAAAACAAAATTTTTTCTCTACCTACATACTATTTTACAGCTCTCCACGATGAGTGCAACCATGCGAGATAGTCAATCAGCCAAACAAACAAACAAACAAAAAAAAAACAAATAAATATTCAAACATGTAAACAAACTTGACTTTTAGTAGTATTAGATAGATAGATAGATAGAAGATGCACTAAAAAGTAGAAAATAAATTATAGACTACTATTTAAATAACTATAAAGAAAAGCGTGGGTGTCTTCCTTAACATTAGT